TCTCTGGTGGGATTTGAAGAAGGCAGTTGCAACACACTCAAGAATATTTCTGAACTGGAGGGCATTGCTCATGAGGAATGGGCTAAGATTACTCAGAAACGCAGCAAAAGGATGCTCTACTAAGTACTACAGATGCATGTAATGAAGGGGTTGAATAATTTTGAGACTGTTGAAGTCATTATAAATTGTGGAAACCACTTAAAACATTTGTTGTATTGAGCTATTTCAATTGCTTTTGTTGGATTTGTTCATTGCAAATAGCTGAAAGTCTGTACATTTTGACAATAAACCTGATTTGCAACTGTATATAAAGTGTCAATTAATGAGCTTTACCAGCAGTAGGTACCAGTAAGCAGGCTTTGGATGTAACCAGGCTACCTACACTCACAGGCCACTTTATTAGGTACACCTGTTCAATTGTTTAACAAACAATAACAAAAAGCTAATCGGCCAATCACATGCTAGCAACTCAATGCATTTAGGCATGTAGAAGTGGTCAAGACAACTTGCATCAGAATGGTGAAGAAAGTGGATTTAAGTGACTTTGACCGTGGCATGGTTGTTGGTGCCAAACAGGCTGGTCTGAGTATTTCAGAAACTGCTGATCTACTGTGATTTTCACGCACAACCATCCCTAGGGTTTACAGAGAATGGTCCGAAAAAGAGATAATATCCAGTGAGCGGTAGTTGTGTAGACGAAAATGCCTTGTTGATGTCAGAGGTCAGAGGAGAATGGGCAGACTGGTTCGAGATGACAGAAAGGCAACAGTAACTCAAAAAACTACTTGTTCCAACCAAGGTATGGACAATAGAAGACTGTAAAAACGTTGCCTGGTCTGATGAGCCACAGTCACCAGATCTCAATCCAATAGAACACCTTTGGGATGTGATGCAACAGGAGATTTGCATAATGGATGTGCAGCGGACAAATCTGCAGCAACTGCGTGATGCTATCATGTCAACATGGACCAAAGTCTCTGAGTAATGTTTCCAACACCTTGTTGAAAGTATGCCACGAAGAATTAAGGCAGTTCTGAAAGCAAAAGGGTTCAACATGGTACTAGCAAGGTGTACCTAATAAATGGCCAGTGAGTTTATTTTCCTGTCTTCAGTCTTTATGCTAAGCTAAGCTAACTGGCAGAGTGGAGTGAATCTACTCATCTACTGTTCAGCTAGAAACAAACGAGTATATGTTCCAAAATGTCAAACTATTTCTTTAACGAAGAGGAAAGTATAACTTTTCTACTGAAGTTCTATAACTGTACTTTGTTATATCAGCAACCCAGGCAATTATTACCTGGCTCCATAGTTCCCTTCAGCGCTACTGAGATTTTTAGCATCTATATTCTCATTATTTATTTGATTTTCAGCCCAAAATCTCCACACTCATCAACCTCTGTTAAACCAGCTGTACACTGCCTGCCCAGCACCAAACAGCAGACAGACATAGCATTTAGCTGGCGAACATATTGTGGCGCATTTAGCAGCTAAAGAAACAGATATTTTAACTTAAAATGAATGCTAATGTTAACTAACATGTTAATCAGTAACAACCTTTTAAGATTATATTATGTTAGTGTTGTGTATACTGCTTCTTGTGCTGCCCCCATGTGTCCAAATCAAAAGGTGCCTATGGTTATGCCATATATTCCTCCTTTCATAACTAAAATACAACGTATTTTCTAAATTACTTAAAAACAACCCACTACTGTATAAAGCTGGACTGAGTTTCACAGTGCCAGACAAAAAGTTGTTTCTCAAGATAAATAAGAAGAAATGTATTGTCCTAGATTTTTAGAGTTATAGGCAATAAAGCCCAGTTTTATCATATTCTGCCACATTGCAGATACCTCATTTCCCCTCCCTCTTTTCCACTCACTAATCCATCTAACTTTTCAATGTTCCTAACAATTTCACTCACTCTTCCTCATTTTAATTCATCTCCTCTATGGCCTTGTCTCCACCTCTCCTCACCCTTCTCCCTCGCTAACTCCCCATCACGCTCTCTGATGATTCAACATATTCCTCCCTCCCATTCGATTGCCCCCACATTGCTTCAGACTGCAGACACAGATCGAAGCTCTGAGGAGAAAAACAATGCGTCAGAGCTCCAAATCCCAAACATCTAAATCCCCAAAATGGAAAGCTGGTTTGCACATCACACATGCTGCTGAAGGGATGTTTGGTTTGCGTGAGAGGACTTGCTGACAAAGTACACAACAACTTTGCCACATGTGCCACCCAGTGGTTGGGTGGCAGTAGAAATGTGAGGACAGGGGGGTTGGAGTGAGGGATGACTCTGGAGAACTGGTTGGGGAGAGAAATGTGGCTCACCATGACTAAAAACAGATCATCTTCCCTCCTGGGTCTCTTTGATGTCTGCGAGACTTATTTTGTTTTCTGCTGATTTTGTGGTAATGGGTGCACACACACATGCTCAAAGGCTCACACACACACACACACGACAGCGTCCTAAAGGAGACATCAAAGGGATGCAGTTCAAACTAGTAGCCGGTAGACACAAATTCAATTTCCCCTTTAGAATCAGATCTTTGTGTGAAGAACCAGCTCATTGAATTATTACTTTACTGTGTTTAAATAATTAGAAGTTCACAAGATTTTTAAGTCAGATGTGGGCAAAACTCTGAGGTACTGCGTGTTATTAAACAGTCAGGACTGAAAGTTCGTCCTTGATCTTAGAAAAAGCAAAAATAATCCACCCCAAGGTCTACTCAGTTTTTATATATGATCTTCCTCTGCAATGGAGATTGCTCAGTTTGGGGGCAAACTCCTTGTGGTGAGATTATTTTGTCAAAATATACCTTTATAGTCAAATTACCAAAAAGCTACACCAATGAAGATTGTTTTGGTAAGCAGTTTCTTTTTTACTATGAGTGATGGGCTCCTACATCAACACATTTATTTATTTTTGCCAAAATCAATACAGTTTGAGTTATTACAGTTGAAAGACTTGAGAGGTTCTGGTTCTGGTTTTAAGTGGGCAGGGCTCAGATGGGGGAAAAAAGTGTTTATTTCCATGCACCAATCAGGATTTAGCAACATTTGAATGAGAATATGATTGATATGAGGTTGTTTGCTTGTATGGCCAGGTTATTGTCAATCAATCATTTTGATGTGTTTTATTAATAATAACAAATGAAAAGCAACAGAAAATTCTAGGAAATATTGGAGCGTTTGCAATAACCAACAGAGACTTTTATTTGGTTAACATTTCAGTAATACCCAAACATAACTGAAGTCAACTCCTTGTATCAGTTTTCATATTGTTTGCTGAAGCCACCTTGTCTTAACTGCTGCTGTAGGCTGTTTAAAGAACACAGTCAGAAATATATATTTCTGTAGTACTGCTGAAGCTGGAAGTTTCAATGTCAGTTGTCTGACGTCAGTCTGGTGTGTGTATAATGTCTTAGCTACTGAGCGTGTGTTTAAAGGCAGCCTTGTCAGTTATGCCCTTTGCTTTGACAAGTCAAAAATTTTGGTGAAATTACTGCCTGAGATGTTTTGTGTACACAAAAAAATTCAGCTGGCAGGTGATAATTCATAAATATAAACATATAACAGAATATAATGCAGTAATCAGCTGCTTGTTTTGTTACTTTTTTTGGACAACGCACATTTGTTTCTTCTATATTTAAATTACCCTGTGAACCTGTACGCAGGATAAGCAGTTGACGATGGATGTAGGGATGGATATTTAAATTATATTGCATTTTTTCTTGTTGTGCACGTAAACCTTTCTCAAAGTATTTTCATTTGTTATTTAAAATTTTTTGGTGCAAGCTATTTTTCAGAACATTTTTAACACATGCTTTCAAAAAGTGATGGGGACAAAATCAGCCATTTCAAAAAGTGATGACACCTATGCCTGAGAGCAAATATAAATGGAGAATGGATGTTCAACTCAGTCATCCGGAGTTTTACACTTTTATAGGCTATGCCTCACATTTCTTATAGAATTTGACTTTCACAGTTTAGCTGCATAAAGAAATATTAGATCATGTGAATTATTAGTAAATTAACATTATCCTTCTATGTCCAACTGTAACAATATACCAGGGTGCGGGATAACAGATTAGATACACTGGATTCATTTGCTGGATGCTGGAGAATGTATTCTTCAGTTCACCACAGAGAGGCAGAAATGAGCTATTGGTCATAAAAAAAAATTCTATTTCACCAATTTCAATGTTAAAAAAAATGATGCAATTTACTACTTTTTGTAGTAGGACTTGTTCATATATGAATAGAAACACAGTCAATATTTTAAACTAAGCTATTATTTCAGCATGATAAAAGAGGTTGCTTTATGAACAAAGAAACCATATTACAGCAGAGAGACATACCCGCTCTCAGTGAAAACATTTTTCAATACACTGAAAAACAGCTGAAGTCTAAAAGGGTGTAATTTGCTGTTACAAACACCAGAGGGCAGTAGGACACATAACCTCTGCATTGGCAGTACATGCCAATCTTCACCCAGGCAGAGGTCTGTGTGGGAGAAGTCAGGTAAATGTTAATATTAAGTTTTACAATACTCTTGTAAAACTTAATATTAACTTGCAATAATACTCTTGACTATCTGAGTTTGACAGGAAGTGACACTCATGAAGGAAGATGCAGGTTATGACAGAAGATTAACGTGGGTTTCATCATTTTGGGCCGGACGTCCTCCTCCTTTTCTGTGTGTTGCATCAGATCAATGTTGCATCACAGTAGAACCAATCAGATCTGTCCAAGTAAAGACCAAATCATGCATGTTATTGTTGAATGCACACATGTGATAATTGCTCATCTTTTCGCACTTCATTATGCCTCTTCGGTGCCACTGATACAAATTCATGAACTAACAGCATGAGGGGGATTTGGGATTTTTTTAAAATTTAGTTTATAGGTAATGTACTTAAACGAATGCATAGCTCAGTCAGTCGAATATGTTAACTGATAACTGGTAGTTCTATGTAAAATCAGACGTTGAGCACCCCAATATCGCCAAAGTGGCATGATCCTTGTTTAGCTGCGAAGCTTCGACTGTGAGATTGACAGTCGAATCAGGCTTCGCCCATGGAAGCATCGAATCTTCGACTATTTGGGGTCAGCTCTAGATTCTACATACACATGTTCTGTCTTATTTAGGCCATTTCTATCAACCCACTAACTACATATACTAACACCCTAGCACAACAGGTTATAGAAGAGGCTCCTGCACAGTCTTGCTTTTCTGTATCAAAACATTACAGTTAGTGCTGTTGTTGTTGCCAGTACAGGCAGAGCAGAGTAAATGTGGCCCATCAAACAAAAAGAGCACTATGTCAGCTCTCTGTACTAACAAAGCACAGCCTATCTGGGCAAACAAAGTGAATGCAGAGACCCTAAGACAATTATGGAGAGGATGGACAACAAGCACTGTTCCACTGGTTGAATTTAGGTCAATGTCAAATGAAAGATGTATTTGGCTTCATGGTTTTGTTTGCTTGATTGTTTTTTCACGATGTCTCTCAATTAAAGGCAGAAATGTAATTTGGTGCAGAAACTGTATGATGGATGGATTCATTAAAAATGTAAAAATGTTTCTTTGATCCAAGAATAGAGGGATTTATGTGCTAGTAAAAACCGTTGGTGTCTCTTTCGCATGTTTTGCTGACCGCTTACACAGAGAATGTACATGCAAAGTGGTGGATACCTTATCTGTACACTGACTTGCACACGCATCCACACACACTCACACACACTCAGATAAAGAGCCAACTGGTTGTAGAGTAACTGGTGTGCAGATATCAAAGAGCTGAATGAGTTCCTGCAGCATTGTGCTTCAGTGTTAAGATGGAATGACAGTGCAGCAAGACAACAGTGCCGCTTCTGCAGGGCTGCAAAGGCTTTCACACCTACATTGAGATGCAACGTGGAAATGAGGACGTGGAAATGACACAGTGACAATGGTGAACTTGACATGTAAACAACCAGAGAAAAAGATGCATATATTTGAACACTTATGATGATAACAAGAAAAATTGGACATCATTATATACATCAACTGGCAATGGAAAAATGACAACATCAACAACAACAACAAAAAAAGAGACAGAGATAGAGATGGAGGGTGTGGGAAGGCTCCAGGCCAAACAAATACCCTAGTGGATCGTGGGTAGAGAGGTATAGGCAAACACATCGACCAGACGCCCCCTGCAGCTGGCTGCGGTCCCAGGGTGTGACCCCACTCACCCCCATTGTCCAGCCCAGCTTTACTTTACTATAACACCACCGTTTACACCAGTGCCCACCCCGGTGAGCACAATGTTTACCCTGCATGACATGTCTTCGCTGCAGAAACCAGGCTTTTCCTAGAAAAATAGAAAAGAAAAACACGCCATGGCAGGTTGACAGAAGCCTCTAATTAAACACACACAACATTTTGTTCTTAATTACAAGATGAGTGCTGGAGCTGAGGCATGCTGCAATCTAATAATAATGTTTTACTCAAGGGTATAATTAAGAGAGAACAATGTTGTTGAGTACAGTGTCGTAAATGCAGTTGATGTTACTGACACCAACTGAAGCTGCCAGTAGTCAATAGATTATATCAATATGTAAACGTCTTTAATTTGACGGTTTCAAGCCAAAATTTACAGACTGTCAAGACTCTATCCAGAGACAATTTAGATAAAATATCCAACGATTCAAAATAATAAAATTCTTTTAGGTTTCCTAATTGATCCCAAGGTTTCTATGCCACTGAAGAGGTCTGTCTGGTGGCTCACCCTATACCATATTCTGTTCAGTTGTTACAACATAAGCAATATAGAAATGATCAAATAAATATGTGTTATTTCATGACAGGAAGGAAATGACTGGAATAGTTTAAAAGCGACATGTATTAATTCAATATTAAATGAAACCAGGCTTATCCCATTAAGATTTCTTTTCTAATGGAGACTTGGAGGAGAAAAGAGCATCCAGACAAACATAAAAGTTGAAAGACAAAAGACATACCACAGTGTACTCAGACAGCACAGCAGTTTGAATACCACAGGGTGCAGTTTTAATCTGAAGGCCTAGTTGTGTCTTACATCACAGCTATGTCGCCATCTGGAAGAAATAAACGCGACGCCCTGAGGTGTTCTTTTGAAGCTTTTGGGATTGGTCCATTTTGAACTTTTCGAGGATCCACCCACCTTAATCACAGGTTCCAACTTTGAGCTCCAGGGAGGATCCCCACTTCTACATTTGTGAGTGTATCTGTATTTGCGTGTGTGTGTTGGGGTGTGTGTGTGTGTGTGTCTAAGTACTACAGGGTGGTGTGCACACAGTTCCTCTCATAACCTTCAAGGAAGATTATCTGAATCCAGGATACATAACCAATGATATAATGCCGGCACTGCAAATAATGTTAGTCAGCTTGTCCCATGTTACAAAATATTAAATATAGTACTCCTAAAGTATTAAACTAGTAGTATTTAAAATATAGCAAATACACACTCCTGTTAACTCAGCTCAACCATTGCTACATCTATCCAATAAAGATTGAATTATACAGGAATTATATATATATACAGAAAGTACACTTATTCGTTTTCTGATGGATGAGAATTTAGACCTCACATACCTATCTGTTGAATTGGAAGCGACAGCCAGCAGCAGGTTAGCTTAGCTTAGCATAAAGACTGGAAACAAAGGGGAAACAGTAAGAATGGCTCTGGATTTTAAGCAGTACAGTAGTCAAATATCCCAACAACAATTTGCCATTTTACGGGGTGTAAAGTGCTGGACTGTTTCTTGGCTTAAACAAACAAGACAATAACAAGTTAATTAGCAATCTTTAGAGGTTCTTGTTACAGATGGAATAAGCCAGGTGAGCTGTTTCCCCCTGTTTTCTTTAAGCTACGTTTTGACCAAAGGAACTATACCCTGGAACTAGGAACCTTTGGAGGAACTCTTTGTGTTTCCACCGAAGGGACCAGGGACTAAATTTGGTTCTAGGGTCTTTATTTTACGCCACAAAAGGTCCCTGCTCACGGGGTAGTCCTTTCCGCAAGTACCGGTACTTTGGGGGGATGGGGCTTGCCTTGTAGTGAATTTCAGAATGGGTGAGTAGAGGCTACTGGCTTTGAATCAGCATGTCGGGTGTTTTTCTATGACTGCTCCTCTCTTTTCCACCGTTGTTTGCAAACCAATAAATATAAAGATGAACAGTCAGATAGCCCCACAGGTCTCGCCGATGTCCGCCTGAGATCGTACGTTGGCAATAAATGTAAGCTACTGGAAATAGCAGCCAGTGTGCAGCGGTGTGTTTACAGAGAACAGCTGATTGTGTTATGCTAAATACTCGGTTCAAAGTTGTTGTTTTAAGCTTTCATCAGTCAGGAAGTTTTTACACAGAGCTGAAGTTGGGCTCCTCCTCTCCAAAACAAGCGGAACAGCTGATAACAGCAGGTAATAAAGCTCGTTAAACATCCCGTTCCTCCGACGCTCAGGCGGACACAGCCTGTGATGCCTGTGCATTACTTTGTACGGCGTACAGGCCTACAGCCTACGTCAGCTGGTTAATTTGCCAAGTGTTCGCAGGTCTTTAGACCACAGAAACGCATACAACAGTGGGCTGAAGGAACCTTTTAGTTGCTTGAAAAGAGATTCAGGGACTTTAAAGTCTAAACGCAGCTTTTCTACTATGCTATGCTGTCTGCTGTGTCTTTAAGGCACATAACAAAGAAGAATATAGAGGGATTTTCTCTGTATTTCTGTGTGTGTAATCATTTGCTTAAGTTGTTTCTGATTTGAAGCAGCTGCTTTTAATGAATGACACGTTTCAAGAAACACTAGGATCTCCTCAAAGCAAAACCTTTTCACTGCATGTGTTGTTCAAGGTGTAGCTCAAGTATTTTCCAAATGCACCCCATATCTTTTGAACCAGTCAGGCAGCAAAGACCTTTAAAGTTTAAGAGTGCCTTGATGGTGTTTGTCTCGCATTGTATTCAGTGAGCAGTACTTGTGTTGTTACACCCATGTGATCACATCATGTTTTAAGAGGATTTTCATTAAGTACTTACAGAGCATTAGTTACAACAACTCTGTTATACAGGTTAAGACAGTGGTATGAGTCCACTGGGATATTTTATTATTAAATGTTTTGAAACACTGTGGGCTGAACACATGCTTTGCATTTTAAATTTGCAGAACAAATGCAGTCATTTGACTGTTAACTTCCTCCCTGCATATTTTCTAACAGTTTCACTGATGACAGATAACCACTGGCTATACACTCTGGACAGAATATAGTATACTTAGTATGACACATAAAATGAAAAATTCCTCTGGCTATTTGGCAGAAAGACTTTTCTCGAGTTATTACACCTCTACCCCACTCTGGGTTTTACACAACTAGAGCTACACAAATATAGGAGGTCACTTCACTGACAAATGTGACACTGACCCATGAGGGGGATCCCCAACCGACTTTCCAGGTCAAAAATAACTGTTTCAACTTATGGCAAGAGGGTAGTGTATAATATTAACTATGTGCCTGTTCGCGCTCTTGAGTGACATAAAGAAACTTAAAAATAGGAAATGTTCATTAGGAAGTGAACAGGGTCACCAGCTTCCCTGTTTTAAAGCTTGATAGCGTTAACTTTCATTTATGTGGCCACAGGAGATTTTCCAGCTATATTGCTGGAAATAAAGGGCATCCTGTATTCAAATCCAGTTTTCTTTCTTCAATACTACACCCACACCATCATAAACCGCTCTTCCTTTCTCAGATGTTGATTCTGTAGTGGCAGTAAAGCTCCACAAACAGGCCAGTGTTTGCTTTAGCTGCTGTAGTTACTCCTGTGGAGGTGACAGACGACCCGTGGCAAAGGGCTACAAGCTGTAAACTACATCGGTGGCCAGATACCGCAAAAATGTGAATTCCCGTTTGAGGACAAATAGGGGTTTCAGGAAGAGAGCGTACTTGTGAACTTGTGTCTCTGACTGAGGCATGTTTACTTTGGGTGGACACTTCTACCTGAAACAACGGGAGACTGTTGGTTGACAAAATGCAAACCTGTGACGTTTTTCACTGTGATGTCATAAATTTCTTTGTACTCTTGTAGTAGACACAGTCTTATAATTAAGGTTGTAAACTACGTTCTATCATATCGATTTAAATATTTCACGATGAGGCTCTCCATTCAGTACATGTGGTGAACTGAAGATTTCACCTCTTGTTTTCTTCAGAGTTGAGCAACAGTGTGGTTGCTGAGCTATCTTTTGTTATTGTCCCCACATCCGGTTGTTTTTGTTGTATTGTACTACTTTTGTTTTGTTTTATGGATTACTCTATATGGGTTAAACTACTGACTGTACGGGTTAAACAAACAGTTTCATTACAAACCATTTAGGCCTACTTTACATGTGAAGTTCACTGTTCTGAAGTGAAATGTAACAACATTTTCAGCATTAACATCTTTATTTTTGTCATATCCAAGATTTAGCTAATTTTAATTTTTACTATTGTTAGAGATCATAACTTGTTGTTAGTCACAATGTAACTAATCAAAATGTCAATTGAAATTCATCCTATGTGCATAAATGAATCATTTACACTGAAGAGCTCTCAAGGGTTGTCATTTGTTATCAAGTGCAAACACTGTCATCTACGACATAGTAACATGGCTCCTGTTGCTTTAATTAAAAGGTTTTTTTGAATTCTGCAAACCACGGCATGCTGATAAGAACATAATGCTAGTAATAATTTAAAATTAATTTCTAAAATGTGTGAAAACTGTGGAAGAAAAAAATCTTTTTGACAGAAAAGAAACTGACAAACACTCTATCGGTCGTTCAAAGGAAGTAGGAAATGAGCATTTCAGGGAAATCCATCAGAGTGGTAAAGCTTGTTTTGTTTGTTCTTTCAAAGAAAAGAATGAAGATAAGACAAAGAGCAGGGAGCAAGACATATATCAAAGAGGCCAACTAACACCTTATTGGAACCATTGAGGTTTAAAAATGACAAACAAAATCGAGAACATCTCCTGTTCTAAACCCAAAGTGCAACCTATTATTCTGCAGTGGCATATATGTTCTTCACTTTAGCTGATATGAAATCTAAAACCTCAATGTGACCTTTGGCCAATATAAAGTAGGGTGTTAGTACTCTTTGCCTTTCCTGGACACACTGGTTGTAAACAGCTTACATAGATGGAATAGAAACGATTGATCCAGGAATCTCCAAATCAATGTCACAGCTCCACGATTGATACAGTGAAAGTACTATAGTGTATTGATGAACTGTGGACTGAGCAAGTGTGTGTGGGCAAAATCTGATGCAACTCCTGGAAATAGAGATCTGAGTATACACAGAGAAGCCAGTTTACTCTATCAATTTGTCAAATCAGACTTAATCTCATGCTGATAGATATACAATATAATAAAATGTAATATATTATAATGGAAGAGAACAGAACAGAACAGAATAAGATGGTACAAAGACATTTCATCATAATTACAAGGAACTTTGGCTATTTTACTTTGCAAGCAGAGTGAAACTTCAAATGCAAATTACATCAGCACAGCGACCAATCACAGACCGTAAACGGATTGCGTCAGAGCCGCTGGGATCCTATCAGCGAGCACCACGATAGTAGAAAAAGATCGCCGGCACACCCATCTTGTCCAACAGTTGAGGATTGTCGGGGATCGGGAAACCAGGGGAACCTCAAGGTTTCCACAGACTTCAATAAGGATACCCCGTTATTTCTGATTTCTTACAGCGCCAGTCGGACATACCAACATGGTGGTGGTAGCAGCAGGGACCGGGGGAGCCCACAAAGTGCTCCTGATTACCGGGAAACAGACCGGCTCCTCCAGCGGCTCACAGGCAGGCTTCAGCCGGCCCATCTCTGTCGTTTTACCGTCATCGGCCAGCCAGGCGTCGTCGGATTCAGACTCCAACTCCTCCGCGGGGCCACCCATACGAAAACGACAGAGGCTCACACACTTGAGTCCGGAAGAGAAAGCTCTTCGCAGGTTAGTTTGAGAAAAATTTCCCTTATTTACCGTTGTATAACTGTTTTTTTTTTTTTAAAGCATAAACGCGGCAGTTGTTCATGAAATTATATTGCCACTGCGACACGCCCAAAGATATTGATCCTCCTTCGAACAATAGCAAACTGATGCGTTTAAATCACAGCTCGGAACAGTGGGGTCAATGCTGCATCAGCCCATATTATAACTAGGTTATCTAAACTGTCACAAATTGCTACGTGAAGCAGTTAATTACATATACGTTGTTGTTGTATCACATTTGGACTTTAAACTTGCTTGACCTGCTATCTGAGTGATTGGACTGTCGGTGGACCCGCCCGGCTCTGCTGATATGGAGAGCAGGACACTGATATCCTGGTGTGCCTGCGTGGCAGGAACATGGCCGGTGATTGCGCAGTACTGTGAACCAGAGTCCTGTCAGTGCGCTTACTCAGCACCATGGAAACAATGTGTTAAATTCCTGTGTGGGTTTTTTTTTTTTTCTTCCAGGAAACTCAAGAATAGAGTCGCAGCTCAAACCGCCAGAGACCGGAAAAAGGCCAAAATGGGGGAGCTGGAACAGCAAGTCCTAGAGTTGGAGCTGGAGGTAAAACTTTTTTTAGACCTGGGTGTAGCTAGGAATGCGGGGTCTCCTTAAACAAGAGAACACTAACACCACCCCACCTTTTCCCATGTACCCCATGTACCGGTTTTGTTGTAACCTTACAACTCAAACACATCTCTGCTCCTGAGATATCAGATTTATCCGTTATTCAGCCGTTTCACCCTACAGTAATTATTACAAATACTCTACTTTAGTTTTGCATGGAAGCATGCTAAGACCCTTTATTAGGTGAGGTTTCAATTCAGTTTTTGGTTTCTTTCACCCGAGGCAGTTCATGCATCACTTCCCGATGAACAGGTTTCAAGTTCAAACATCTGTCTGTTTGTCCTCCCCACAGAATCAGAAACTATACATTGAAAACAGGGTGCTTCGGGAAAAGACAGTTGGCCTCCTGACAGAAAATGAGGAACTAAGACAGAGACTTGGGTTGGACACCCTCGACACGAAAGAGACGGTGAGACTGTAATGCAGACTGAAGACGAGAAGTGGGTTCAGTGTGTAGTGATTCTCCAGTCTTGTCAGTGGTGTAACCCGTTATTTTTGTCACAGGTTCAGGGTCTGTTGTCCACCGGGAATGAAGCAGGTTTGGGGATCGGGTCTTCTGAGTCCGCAGCACTCAGGCTACGTGTGCCTCCGCAGCAGGTGCAGGCCCAGCAGTCCCTAAATCTGAAGACCTCTCAATGGATACAGACAGTCCTGACACTACAGACAATGAGGTAAGTCTCTGAGAAAGATAAAAGTCGTGTCTTGAGATTTAAATCCTGTTGCCAATCATCTCTGGAATAACACAAGTCAGGTCATGGGTTACGAGGCTAATCTCTGGTTTTCTCCCTGCCTCCTCACTAGTCTGATTTGCTACTGGGCATTCTGGACATCCTTGACCCAGAGCTGTTCCTCAAGTCTTGTGAACAGGAGTGCCAGGAGCCGCAGGTGCAGCTGGTCAGAGGGGGGAACCCAGTACCTTCCACCACACCTGCGACTCTGGGGACCCCATCAGTTAAGCTGGAGGCCCTTAATGAACTGATCCACTTCGACCACATTTACACCAAGCCCGTGGAGGTGAGCAGCGGGCAGTGCAGTGACTTGGAGAACGACACAGAGGAGAAGAGTGATGAGGCTACCTTCCCCGTTACCGAGGTGGAGGTGGAGACGGTCTGCGTCAAAGACGAGCCGGAGGACGTGGTCATCCCCAGCTGTCACAGTCAGGTGGATGACCTTTTCTCTGGAGCCTCATCCCCTGCCCTCAGCGGCATGGATAAGGAAGCCTGCCTGGCGGACACCTACAGCGACTCCGGATACGAACGGTCCCCTTCCCCTTTCAGCGACATGTCCTCTTCCCTGTGCTCCGAGAGCACCTGGGACGACATGTTCGCTAATGAACTATTCCCCCAGCTTATCAGTGTCTGAATCCAACCCCTGGCCCAATAAGTTATAATATATACATCTAAGAGCTAATGTGTAGTGTTCAATAACTACAGAAAAGCACATGATGCTTCATGGTAATATAGAACACAACCTGCTCGTATATAGGCTAAAGTTAAACACACAATCTCTTTATTACAGCAGGTCTGTACCACTGATACTGAATTGACTTGAGCTGCAGTTCATGGAGTTTTTGGCATCACTTAATTACTGCATAGGGCTTAAGATTGATTACACTTCTTTCACTTGTTGTTCAAGATGAAATGAGTGGAATCCAGTGTTTCTGTAAATTAAACCGGGGGATGGGGACCGATCATTTAAATATTATTTATTTGTGTTTTCTGCTGGAGTCGTCGTATGTCCACATGTAAAAATGCATTCTTCTAATTTGTTGTCTGCTCTCCGTATAGTCTAATTACTGCATTAAAAAAATTTTTTGCATTGCATCTTGTCTATTTGTTTCACTCACTGCAACTGCTTCTACAAGGACAGTTTTCCCAGATCTTTACAGGACGTGGAAAGATTAGAGCAACACGTATTGATGAAAGGATAATGCAAGTAATTGTACGTTTTCATCTGTGAACGCCGCTGAAAGTAGTTGATCGGTCAGTTGGCTGAAAAAGTCATTGATCAGGCAAAGTAGCAAAACATTGGCCAGTTCAGCTTCTCATAAATGGATTTTATTGTAAACCAGATATCTCTGGATTTTGGACTCGTGGTGGCACAGAACCAGCAACTTAAAGATGTCTCACTCTAAACTGAGATGGGCGTTTTCCCCTATTGGACATTTTTATAGTCTAAACCTATGGTTCCCAACCTGGGTGTTGTAACTGTCAAAGAGAAATCTGATGCATAAGAAAGGGGGGGGGAAATTTTGTCTGACATGAGAAATTAATATCACTTGGAGGTTTAACTGCTAATAAATCTACACTTGAGACATTAACTTGCGATATGAGGGTTCACAAGTTGATGTTGCTTCATTTAGGGGGGTCACCAGCCAAAAAACAGTGGAAATGTCTGGACTAAGAAATTCATTATAAAAAGGTACAGATTAATCAACTCTGAAAAGTAACTTTCTGCCTAGACAAATTTTCATATATAAAGAAAAAACTTTGGATAGGGCTTTTTAGTGAAACGCCTCCAAAGAATCATGTACTTGCAGCTTGTATTCTTAAAATTTAAATCACATCACCAATGGAATCAGTTTCACCTGCAAATGTGGTAGAGACATCAGGAGCTTTAATTATACAAATGATGGTTAATTAGATTATCAAATGTTTGCTGTGCTCTTAGTTCAGTATGAAGAGTCAAAGGTTAGGGTATTAGGAGTAGTAACGGGTTTATCAAAGTGATTTAACAAATGCTGTGTTATCTTAAACTCTCTAATATGAGCAATCAACTTGCATAACACAATCCTACTCCATGGGATGGCCGTAGATCCACTGGAATAAAGCATCAACAAGTCATCTATTCAACTGTCCTATCATTTGTGAAATTATCTCACACATGCGAACACGGTGTTTATATTCCTTATCTCCCGTGTGCCAGCGCAACCTTGCTTTTCTGAGAAGGAGGCCTGCTTGTAACTGTACCACTTGTAATGTAACTGGAAGTTTCCTGGGAGTCTAACCTGAGACACTTCTAGGCTTTACTTCCAGACATAAATAGGTCAGTGTAAGTATTGTTGGTGTTTTGTCTTGTACAGTAAGGAGCACACCTCCCGCCCGGGGCCTTTATTGTAATCACAATGAGGTCTCATTCTGTATGATAGAGGAGACAGTTAGCCCTTTAAGTTCCTAAGGCTGTGATTGGTATGACCCACCCATTGAACAAAAGTCCCTGTTGTTGTAAGGTCTGATTAGATCAGGTTTTCAGATGCAACACCGATGTTAATTGATATTAACTCTGCAGGGCCTGGCTGCCTGTCTCTGTTTGCTTTTAACTCCTGTTCACTGATTACAAAGCTTTGTATCAGTGATGTCCTCCATTATGTTTCACAGCAGCTACTCTGGAGTACATGACAGCAAATTATCTAGTACAAGATGAAGGGGGAAAACAGAAATCGGCAACTCAGCAGCTATTTTATGGTAATGTGACGTGCATCTTGTATTTTTGTGGTATGTTGACGGAAACCGCAGCAGCCTTTGACGTAGCTTCACCTCAGCTGCACCTAAAAGAGTGTGGTTAGTACCGTTTCCTGTCTCTTTGGTGTATCCCACAGCAAAGACTGAATCAGCCTTACAGCTGTTGAGCTGAAACTGAAAAATATCTTCTGGAGCAAGATCTTTCGGTTTCAGGCTGTAGATTCTGGTTTATTTAGGGACAACAGACTCATTTCTGTTTCTACTCACTGGATGTGCCGGCTACAATTTTTTTTTCTCTTTCTTACCCATTGGTGACTGCGATGATCAGTTTGCTAAATTTGGCACCTTCAGAAGTTTTCTGCATCAGATATTAAAACACGCCAGAACGTCTGAAGGTGCTGTTGGTTGCTGTGACAATTTTAACATGGGAACTTTAATATTCATATTAATTCTTAATAATTATCCAAAAAAATCAACATGTCATAGTTTCAGGGTTTTCTTCCCCTGATAATAGTTAAATGGTTCAAAACTCATTATATATTATAATATTGCCAACCAAGTCAATAATGTATTACAGAAAACTGGCCCTGGATCTGCCATGAATGACCTAATCTGCTTTCATCTCGTGAAAGAACACCTGTTGCCATCTACAACCTAATATAAGCTTTCTGTGACTCTATTTCTTAACTTCCGTTTTGTATGATTTAAGTGTCAAACTGTTTCGTTTGGTATAGTGTATGGTTCCAAAATGCTATCAGTTACCTACCTGCTTACATGCTGGGATGCATAGTGTGTCCTGTAGCCTGCATAACAAATAATGGCCTGTAGTTGACATTGAATTTTTTATTGATTATTGTTGTCTAAGACCTGATAAAGACTCCTGGTCCAGGTCAGTGTGTTCCTCTAAACCAGGATGAAACCAACCTGGTTCTGGATGTCAAAGTTCATGCTTAAATTAGAACTAGATTTGCTTCGCTAATATGACACCGTATGCACGGATTTGGATAAACCTTACTGCAGGCCTCGGGTTACTATACTCAGCAGTATTATAAAGAGGATTGCTAAACCTACACTGGCAGCTGCCACTTCAATGTAAATGCCTGTACCTGAGCTTTTCAGACTAAACTGTAAACAGCGTGCTCCAAATGTACAGAGCAACAGGCAGGGCTGGACTGGTAATCTGGCATGCAGGGCAAATGCCCAGTGCGCGAAAATAAGCGATATGTTTGCTACCGGGGCTGCGGTACTTTTAACATCCGCTGCGGTACCCGATGTAGAGCAGGCACAGGCACTTGAAGGAGTAAAGGAGGGCTGTAGCCACGGTCAGGCAGAGGAGGAGATGTGTGTTAGCGGGTGACAAAGTGACAGGGCTGAGGGAGAAAGCAGCACGAAAGTGGAGGTGAAGCGGTAAGCATGGAGTAGCTCAATCTGGAGGGAAGGTCATTTACACTGGGGACCTGGGGACATGTAGCCACCACTTTTTGAAAGCATTTGTTAAAAATATTCTTAAAAATAGCTTGCAACATCCATCCATCCATCCATCCATCTTCATCCGCTTATCCGGGATCGGGTCGCGGGGGGCAGCTCCAGCAGGGAACCCCAAACTTCTCTTTCCCGAGCCACATTAACCAGCTCTGACTGGGGGATCCCGAGGCGTTCCCATGCCAGTGTGGAGATAATCTCTCCACCTAGTCCTGGGTCTTCCCCGAGGCCTCCTCCCAGCTAGACGTGCCTGGAACACCTCCCTAGGGAGGCATCCAGGAGGCATCCTTACCAGATGCCCAAACCACCTCAACTGGCTCCTTTCAACGCAAAGGAGCAGCGGCTCTACTCTGAGCTCCTCACGGATGGTCAGGCTTCTCACCCTATCTCTAAGGGAGACACCAGCCACCCGCCTGAGGAAACCCATTTCGGCCGCTTGTACCCGCGATCTCGTTCTTTCGGTCACAAAGCTTGCACCAAGAAATGTTAATTAACAGATAAAAATGCTATGAAAAAGGTTTAATTGCACAATAAGCCTGCAATGCAATCTAAATATAGAAGAAAATTCTGTTGTCCAAAAAAAGTAACTTAAGCTGAAAAAAATAATAAGCTACTGATTACTGCATTCTATTATATCTTTATATTCTATTTATTCTATTCTATTTGGTGGGCCGCCTGAGCCAAAAATGCCAGGGCCGATCTTTTGTCCCAGTCCAGCCCTGGCAACAGGCGAAATCTGCTCTGATACAATAACATACACACTGTTGAATGAGCTGAACTTGGCTTTTCAGCAAGGACTCTGAGAAATAAGCAAGCCAAAAACAAAAAAGTACCAGCTGATAAATCAGGATTGCAAGACAAAGAAGTTCATAACGTGGCTCCTGTGACAGTTTTCATGTGAGAGGCAATGATGTTGCTGGGTTGGGGTGAGCGAAACTCTACAGTCGGCGAGCCTCAAGGGCTGAGCGACTTCAGACTTCTGACCCAAATTAGGAATGTAAACCAACAACCCCCTTTAGCCTTCATTATTAAAAGGCTACTCAGTGGTTGAAAACCAGCTTTGAGGGTGGGGGCCATAGCCTTGGCCTTTATGAATGAGTCAGCTGGGGAAAAGTGAGTCATCATCCCCCGTCATTGCCAACAAACAACATCTGTCCATCTCTGGACATGGAGGAACACGATTTACCAGCATGTTTAAAAGGCCAACTGCCGCACTCAATCACCTGTTCATGTACCAGAAAAAAGGCCTGTTAATCCTGTTAGCTCCACAAGGCGTGTTTTTGTTTTCTTACCACTTCTTCATGTCTGGCTTGTTTTTCCAGATTTCAGATGATGATTCCACTTACAGTAAATAATTATACACAAACAATAGAATACCAACATAACAATCCCACGCCCTGTCCTGTCAGGATCAAGTCAACAATTTCTTAGCTGCATCACAACTTAAATGTGTGCAAACAAGAAGCTGCAGATGTGTTATCAATGACGCACACATACCAGCATGCACTCACATGCAGACGCACACTTCACCCTTGTGCTCAGTCAATGTGGCTTACTCTCGAGCTGTGAGAGAGATCATTATCCTCAGTTACCACTGGCAACAAAGGAACGGTCAGTTGAGTGTGTTTATGCATGTCTGATCCACGGCACTGAGCCAAAGCCCACTGAGGGAACAATGAGGCTACTTAAGGGAGTCAGATGTGTTCCTGAATGTCAAGAACATGCAGCTCTACAAGTCACGCTGTAGAACTGTATTTAAAGACCCGGATAAAGTCCCTTCTCGTATGTGTGCTGGAGGCTTCCAGTTTCCACATAACGCTGGCTTTTGGACCAGAGTTAGCTCCAAACTAGTTGAAATGTCACAAACCCCTGCCCGTACA